ACCCTAAACCCCTAAACCCTTTCAGGTTTCAGTTGGAAGTATTGCGGACGTCTAAACAAGCAGCAATGTTATCCCCTAGGCTTCCTGAACAGCAGTCTTCCAGAATCGACTCCAGAAGCCGATTCTACCCTAAACCCTAAACTACCCCCTCCCCTAAACCCTAAACCCTAAACCCTAAGCCCTTTACCCTAAACCCTATACCCTATACCCTAAACCCTGAACCCTACCTTTGCCGTCTTGGCCTGGTGTGTTCTCCGGGTGGGCGCATTGTATCATCAGTTGTATAGATATGGGTCTAGGGTTTAGGGTTTAGGGGTTTAGGGTAGATATGACCAGTGTGTGTAAGTAAGCTTAATCTTGCAACAGCCCACCAAAAACCCTTGGAGCGGTAGAGCCCTATACGTCCACCCGCTCAAAGCCTCTCTTAAGCGTAAACCACCCTAGAGACACCCTTTCTTATTTCTCCTGAAACATTACCTGACCCCTAAACCCTGAACCCTGCCCTAAACCCTAAACCCTAAACCCTAAACCCTAAACTCGACCCTGATCCCACCTCTGACAAAGGAGCTTAAGCTGGGCGTGGTGAAAAAGTCCATCATCCGACAGATTTGGCTGCCAGGTCACTAGGGCAGGGTGGGGGTTCTTTTGAGGGTTCCTTAAACCCTAAACCCTAAACCCTAAACCCTAAACCCTAAACCCTAAACCCTAAACCCTAAACCCCTAAACCGTTTTGGGGGTTTAAGGATTCCTTTGAGGGTTCCTGTAAAGGCTTTAGAGTTTCAAGGGCTCCTTAGAGGATTCCTTTCAAAATTTAGGGTTTAGGGTTTTGAGGGTTCCGTTAAGGCCTTGCTTTGAAGGTTTCCGTCTAAGGTTTAGGATTTTGTTTGGGGTTCCTTTATAAGGGTTCCTCTAAAGGAAACTCCCTAAACCCTAAACCCTAAACCCTAAACCCTAAACCCTAAACCCTAAACCCTAAACCCTAAACCCTAAACCGTCCTCGCCAGGCCGCTGGAGAGCCAGGGTTTAGGGTTTACAGTAGGGGCCCGGCCTTGAGGTCTCCTCCTTTCGGGGGAGTTGGAGGGGTTTAGGGTTTAGGGTTTAGGGTTTAGGGTTTAGGGTTTAGGGTTTAGGGTTTAGGGTTTAGGGTTTAGGGTCTTCCAACTTTTTCTTAAAAAGTGCATACACGCGGAAGTGCTCATTAATCTTACTATTCAGACACCTACATGAAGTGACCCTAAACCCTAAACAACCCTAAACCCTAAACCCTAAATAACCCTAAACCACCCTAAACCCTACACCCTGCATGAAGTTCTAGAGTTCAGCGTTTCCGCGCAGTCGGGCCTTGGGGACTAGGATGTTCGGTTGTGGGATTTTGGAGTTTAGGGGTTTAGGGTTTGAGAATTGGAAGGCGGCTTGAGGATTTTAAAAGGCGGCTTGAGGATTTTAAGGGTTTAGGGTTTAGGAGTTAGGTTTTAGGGTTTTAGATTTTAGGGGTGTGGGGCTAGGGCAGCCCTAAACCCTAAACCCTAAGCCCTAAAGTCGGGGCTTAAGGGTTCCTGGGTTGTTTGGTTCTTCGTTGTGCCCGCGAAGCCCGCAACGTGCTCCCAAAGCCTCAGACCACGAGATCCTAGGTCTTTGACAGCCAGGGTTTAGGGTTTAGGGTTTAGAGTTTAGGGCTTAGGGTTGAGGGTTTAGGGTTTAGAGTTTAGGGCTTAGGGTTTAGGGTTTAGGGTTGAGGGCTTAGGATTCAGGAGCCATGAGCCCAACAAGTCCCAAGCCCAAAGCCCCCAAACTCCAGAACCCTTTTTGAAGCCCCTGGCAGAACTGTCTTCCAGGACCCTCAAGGGAACCCCTCACCCCAACCTCAACCCTCAACCCCAAACCCTCAATTCTCAGCCCTAAAGCCTAAACCCCAAAGCCTAACCCCTAAAAGGAAGCCTTAAAGGAACGCCCAAAATGCAAACCCTCAACCCTATATAAACCCTGTATAAACTTCACCCGCTTCCCAGACGAGTGGCTCTCGCACGACGACCATGAGCCGGTAGCCAAGAAGCCTAAAGGTTCAGGGTTTAGGGTTGAGGGTCAGGGTTAGGGTTTAGGGTTCAGGGTTTAGGGTTCAGGGTTCAGGGTTTTGGGGTTTAGGGTTTGGGGTTCGGGGTTTAGGGCTGCTGTGCCCCCAAGCCCCAAACCCTAAACTGAAGATCTGATGATCCAGTATTGGGTTTGCCTCTGTCGTTTGACAAACTTCGGATCTACATTAAGCCGAAAGCCCTAAACCCTAAACCCTAAACATTAAACCCTAAACCCTAAACCCTAAACCCCTAAACCCCTAAACCCTAAACCCTAAACCTAAACCTAAACCTAAACCCTAAACCCCTCAACATTAAACCGAAAGCCCTCGCCAAGGCCGGAGACCTCCACTCGCCATGGCAAGGCACCATATGAACGGCGTGGGCGGTATGTGAAAGTTTTGCAGGTTTTGGGGTTTACGGTTTAGGGTTTAGGGTTTAGGGTTTGGGGTTTATGGTTTAAGTTTGGGGTTTAGGGTTGGGGGTTTCGGGGTTTAGGGTTTGGGGTTTAGGGTTTAGGTTTGGGGTTTAGGGTTGGGGGTTTCGGGTTTTGGTGTTTAGGGTTCAGGGTTTAGGGTTCAGGGTTTAGGGTTTGTGGTTTAGGGTTTGGCGTCTTGGGTTTAGGGCTTAGGATCTACGGTTTAGGGCTAAGCTGACAGGAAGCATGGTTTCCATGAGAGATTTTTTGATCA